GACAGAACAACTGCAGCTCCAGAAACTACAGTTAGGTTCTCGTCTGGTGGGCTCCTCTGCCCATTACCAGCAAACCCTGCTTCGTCTGTCACCCATTGCAATAGCGCAGAACCGAGCGGAACGGTTCAGGGCGCTGGCGGAAGAGATGGACTGGTCGTGGACCACCCCTCTGACGTACTGGCGCGCCATTCTTACGTTGATGACGTTGCTGAACATGCCTCTGACTGAAGACGACCGAGGCTTGTCAGGCTACTTGCGAAAGAAGCAACACTACCACCAACCTGGAGTCACGAAGATTCAACACAGATACTATCGACAATGGCCATCAAGGCATTGACAGAAGCTATGGCAGCAACGAGCACAGGAGACCCGCTCAGAGCAGCGTACGTGGCGATGATGCTGGGCCAACGTGTCAGCGATGTGTTGCGATTGAAAAGAGAGAACGTGTTCATTCAACATTTTGCAAAACACACGGACACACAGCAATCGGTTCACACGGTGGTACTCAAATTTGTGGAGACGAATACGAGTCTAAAGTGCGGACACTTTACCCTGGCGATACCGTATGGGACACATGTGGCGACACTACTGATCGAAGACAGATCGTGTTCGACAGAGGAATACTTCTACATCAGCAACAGGGTCGAGGTTTTGAAGGCGGAGGCAGAGATACACAAGAAACTGCTCGAAATCCTTGGGTTCAAAGTGGACCTGCGGGCCATGAGACGCACAGGACTGTCACGCTTTGCATCGTCGGGAGCGGAGTTATCACGGTACTCCAAATATGACGACACAGAACCCTCGATATGCTAAGGCGGTATCTCTCAGGAGGCCGTTACCATGGAGCAGTACATCGTCAGCAGAGCATGGCATCCACGAATGCTTGGATACACGAACTGCCAGAGAGGAGCTAGCAAGATCACGTAGAAACTTGAAGAAAAAGTACTGAAGCGACGCCAGTGATGCGTCCGCTGTAGGTAAGCAGGCCCAAAGCCGACATACAATCCCTTACCGTCCAGTCCTGCGTTTGTGTTGTCACCAGACCCTTGACTTTATTGCGGATAACTTCAGAAATCACCACAGTCTGATTGATGTGGTTGTAGAGAACTCCAAGGAAGGTATAGATTCTATCTGTCGTTCCGCACGGCTGATTGCACGTCATGCCCAGGCTGACTGTCCAGCGTTCAAAGCATCTCGACACTCTCTGTACTGCTTGCGTACGCCCCGCGAAACGGTTGTTATCCAAACAAGAATCCATCAAGATCTCGCGTTGCTGTGCCTCTTGTATAGCTGCTGTGCATAAGCATTTTGAGATTATCTGTGCGATGAGCTGAACGAAGCGAGACCCTGTAGGTCCGCTCGTGTGGAGATTGGAGGAGAACACAAGGCAGTCCTCATGGAAACGGCGTACCATCAAGATTTTCCCTGGTGGTATGGCCAGTTTCCTCTCCCAGAAGAGACTCGCGGTTTTTATGGGTTTGCCCATAAGAATGAAGAAGGCAACGTACGGTTCTTTGTACCAACGAGCGTACCTACAGGGTCTCGCTTCGTGCCGCTCATCGCGCAGATAATCTCAAAATGCTTATGCACAGCAGCTATACGAGAGGAACAGATGCAACGCGAGATCTTGACGGATTCTTGTTTGGATAACAACCGTTTCGCGGGGCGTACGCAAGCAGTAGAGAGAGTGTCGAGATGCTTTGAACGCCTGACAGTCAACCTGGGCATGACGTGCAATCAGCCGTGCGGATCGACAGATAGGATCTACACCTTCCTTGGAGTTCTCTACAACCACATCAATCAGACTGTGGCGATATCTGAAGGTATCCGCAATAAAGTCAAGGGTCTGGTGACAACACAAACGCAGGACTGGACGGTCAGGGACTGTAT